TCATTTCCCCTGTGGACCACACTGTGGGTTACAAAATACAATTTCCATTTTGTCTGCTGATGGCCTAAATAAGGTACACACAAAACAACAATGAAGGGCTTCTTAATTTAGCAGGGTGAGATGTTCATATAGCAGTGGCCCTGGGGGTTAGATTAGAAAAGAAAGAGAAGTAGATTCTTTACCTCAGTGGAGTTGAATAATTTCTAAAAGATTTAGCACAAAAAAACTGGGCCATCACACACTATGAACATTTAGAAAAATCTAACAATAATGTAACTTTTTTCATATTCTATAATACTGGGATTCATGGCATACATGCAATTATAACTTACAAGATATTTTAGGCACAACTATCATAGGAGCAAAATTGCTAAAAGAATATTAAAGATATGACTCTCACGGTTAAGTTGTATTAATGTATTTTGAAGTATAAAATATGTGACATATACATTGCATGTCATTTTATTTAATTCCTAATATTGGCCTCAAACTGTGCTAAGTAAACTCTATGCTCTGATAAAATATCCTGATTCATAAATGTATAATAACTTGAATAATTGATTTCTATTTTTGAAAATTAATTTTCTCTTGTGAACTATGTCTACATCTCACTTCTGGAATGCATGAGCCTTTCGAAGAACATGCAATATTAGATGAAAGTTGTAATTCTTACCATCATCACCACTGTTTATATCAGCAAAATGTAATGAATGATTATTACCAGCTATGTCTTAGGGATCCAGACAGTTATGCACAATGATAAAATTTCATCAAATTAATAGGACAGTAAGTCCCATATCTATTAAAAAAATAAAACTGTCACTCACAACAATGGCAGAGCATGATGGTTTGGGAATATTACAAGGGTTCATGGGACAGATGTAACTTGAGGCGGATGTTGAAGAGTTAGGAAGTGGGGCTGGGGATTTAGCTCAGCGGCAAAAGTGCTTGCCTGGCAAGCGCAAGGTCGTGAGTTCGGTTCCTGGTACCGGAGAAAAACCGAAAAACCAAAAAAAAAAAAAAAAAAAAAAAAAAAAAAAGAAGAGTTAGGAAGTGTGTAAGAACCAGGAATGAGAAAAATGCTTCACTCATATGCCTTATGCATGTAGCCAGAACAAAGACATAATTTACTTAACATTTTTGCCTTTAAACAGCTTTTATGCAATGGGAGAAGAAAATGCCAGGATAAAATATTTTATGAAGGAATGACTACTGACCTAAGCAAGGTATTTTATGTTTCAAGCAATGAAGGAGCATTGAAGGCTTTAAGATGGAAGGAAAGCTGTGTGCATTTTATATTTGGAGAATCCACTCATTAGTGTTCTAACAGAGAGGAATCTGTAAAGGATTCCTAGGATGAAGACGACTATCTTAAATGGAACATTTTGGTTGCATATACTTGGTATTTTCTTATTCAGATGTGTCGTATTTTCATTTTATACAGATATGTCATATTCTTGTTTCTACATTTGTGATCATGTCAAACATTTGTCTGTGCTGCTGGAAACCAAGATAAACAACAATTTAACATGGCACTGGCGGAGATATTCCAAAGACACCACATGTCATACCATCTAAGAGGAGACTTAGTGAGGATATAGTTTAGAGTCAGAGGAGATTAGAGTACACTGGGGAATAAACAGAAGGGAGAAGTTTGAGACCCATAAAGGTGTTTATGTTCTTTGTTCTCTATTATGCAGGTTAAAAGAAGTAGTGAACAATTTAAGTAGCTTAAATTTAACTTAAGGTTTTTGTTGTTTATTTATCTTCCCAATGAGACACAATCAATTTGTACTCTCTGAAGAGAGCCTGCTAGTGTGGCCAGTACCATTGCCAGGTGGGAAAAACCAGTTTTTCTATAATGTATTGTTGATAATTCAACTCAGTACCTGCAATGACTACAAAAGAAATGCCTTTTAATCTCAATTTTAAGTGAAATGTTTTCTATGTATCAAAGAAAACATTTACATACTTGGTACATATCTACGTACCAAAGCAAAATTATTTTATACGTGTTACACCGCAACCATTATAGAATGATTTACTATAAATGTACTCACTGAATGTTAATTAAATTTGATAATATATTGAGAACAAGGCAAAAACATAATTTGTCATGTATGTAATATCAGCATAACGTCCAACCTGATCAAAAATTAGTAATTGAGGTTTATGGTAATAAGTACAATTTTGCAAATTAAAGGAAGTTGGAATGTTGCATAATTTTTACTCTTTTCTGTACTTAAAATTATGTGTTTAAATTGTATTCTATCTGCAACCAATGAAAAAGAACCTTAATTAATGAAATAATTGTCCTATATGAATTTATTTATACAGCTGAATTCTTTTGGCCTTTTAAAAATCTAACTCGGTTACTGAAGAACGTTTTATTTTCCAAAAAATAAATATTGAGCATTCATCTAATATGTGCTAATCACCTGGTTGAACCATAAGATTTATTGTTTCTTGCAAAATGTATATTTTAATGATGTAAACTATATAATAAATAAATATATAGGATATATATGTGTATATAGATATATATATTCATTATATATAAGGTAATATGTAAGATTCCAACTAGTAATAAAAAGATATAGAAAAACAAAACAAGATATAGGCAGTGGGAAGTTCTGACATGGCCAGAGTCACTTGTTAAAGCATTGTTTGTTCTCTTTAGAGACTAGGTAGGAAGACCTTAATAATAAAGTCCCATCTGAGTATAGAAGATACTAAAGGAAGTGCTAATTCACACAGGAATGAAACTTCATTACCCTTGACTTTATGTTGAAATTTTTCCTCATATAAAAAAATATTCCTTAACTCAAAGGGAACACAATATCCATTTGTGACTAAAATTTCTAAAGTGGCTCTTTGTCAGTTAAAATGTCCTCTTGGTATGTGGTCTGCAAAGATATTTAAGGGATCACAACATTTTGCTTTAATGACTATTTACTAAGTGCTTACTTTGTATAAGATTCTTTTAGACACCTGCCATTTTGTTTGCCCAACAAATTAAACTCTCTTATAAGCATTTTATTTTTCCTTTGGGAGTTGATCGTTCCTATGTGACCAAGACCTGGTCAGTCACCATGGCCCATTTTCCCTGGCTGTAGAAACTGACTTGGAAAATGCTTATAATACAAAACAGGTCCATCAGAATCACTGTCAGCCCAAATGTGGCTGGTGAAACCACTGAAAATGGGCATTCTATTGACTTTCTTTTTTACAGGATAGAAGTCTAGGATGAAGGGTTGAAGTTTTGAATGTTCTACTTGTCAATATATGAAAGGAAAGGGTCTGAAAAATGCTAGGCATGAAGAAAACAGATCCGAGAAAAAGACAGAAGTCCTCTGGCAATGTTCTTGCAGTAGCTGGATGCAGTTATGCCTGAAGCCCTTACTTATGAACTTCTCTTTATGAGATGTAACAAATTACTATATTTGCTAAGGTATTAGGATTACTTTTCTAATATTTGCAACTAAGAGACCCATGACTATCACAAAAAAACCCTATTGGCTCAGCTCTATTTATTCTGCTGAGTTGTTCTTTTTTTTTTTTTTTTTTGTCCTGGGAATCAAACTCAGGACCTTGTCAGCTAAGTTTTTAAAAAGAAAGATTTATGACAACAAAAATGACCCTTTCATTGCCATATGATCAGTGAACTCTTAAGCATTCTTTTCATGCTAATTATCATCTGGTAATCTTCTCATAGCTTAAAACACCTATGATTTTAGCTCAATAAATTTCTTACATGCAGTTAATTATATAATAAACTGACCTAGTACCTGGAATATGTAAAGATGAAACAAGTCCATTTTTTTATTCTGAATACAACACCCTTCAATTTTATGGGCTTATAAGTGTCTGAAATATACAGTTAAAATAAGGAAAATACTCTATAAGGAGTGCTGCGACTATAGGTAGCACTAACATGTACAGCTTCTCTACTAGATATTAAATATATGAGAATCATAAGTCATATCCTATTTTCCAAGCTTCACCTTTAACACTTGTCTTTAGAAGTCTGATATTTATTAAAAATAGTATTTATGCATTTCCGGGTCTCACTAATCTGCACGTATCAGTCTTGAGCAATTATTGAAATGTGGATAATTTCTACCATTATTACTATCATTCAATGAATAACTTTCCTCACAGGCTGGGGAAATAGCTCCGCGGCACAGTGCCTGCCTGGAGGTCCTTCCTGAGCTTGCTTCGTGGTACCAATAAATAAATAAATAAATAAATAAATAAAACAAAAAAATAAAACTTTATTCATTATCTCATGAGTTTTCAATTATATCTGGAAGAATTTGAAATTGCCCTAAGCAATATGTTGATAATTTTTCAGTAAGGTTACCCCTAAAAAGGTTTTTGCCATAAAGATAAATTAAACTGTCTGTAAGCGATATACTGAATGAGAATATGTATTTGTATGTTCTCTTCCTCCCCACCACTCATTCTCTCTATAATAAAATGCTGTCAGCACACACAGTCTCCTCTAGTCACAGCAAGATTGCAAGACCTACTCAACTTTCCTACTGCACAGCTATTTCCAGCCACCCTGACCTGGAAGTGTTTGCATGTCCTTAAAGCACCTTCTGGAACTCCCAGCCACGCTCCCTTCCCTGCACTGAAAACTAGATCTAATCCAATAATAGGGCTAAAAGCAAGAAATACAACAATGTGAAGAAATGCAAAAATACATCTTTCCTTCTATTAAATGACAGCTACTGCTGAAATAAATTAAGCCTCAGCACTTGGACTCAGGTATAGAAAGTAAAATCGTCTATTTTTCATGAAGCAGCTGTATGAGCGAACTGTCCCACGCTACTCTTGTGATTGCTTCTGCATTTTTTATTCTCATTAAAATGTTTTCCAATTGCATGTCATTATCTTTTTCTCATCCAGACCTAGTGTAGAGACGCACAAATACCAGGCAGGTGAAATCTGTCTCCCCTCCCATTCTTGCGTACCCAGCCCGGCTGCACGACGCAGGCCTAGGCGAGGGCTCAGGACAGAGCGGTGCCAGGCGCTGAGGTCGGTGTCAGCCCAGCTGCGGAGCAGTTTTCCAGGGCTGAGCGCGGAGCTGCCTGTGCTTCTGCAGGGGAACAATGAGCTTGTGCATCTGTGGGAACTCTCGTGCCCGCTGGGCGCTCAGCTCGGAGTCCCAGAATATCAGACACAATTATATTCAAATGTAAGTACAAAAAGTCATTTTGACTCGAATATAAATTATTCTAGCTGCCATGTTGGATTACCCTCGCTATCACTCCTCTTCATTTGCGGTGATAATTGAGCAGTGACTCTGTACGTGCTTAAATAATAGTATGATTAATGGTCTATTTACCTATCTTGCTTGTGAGCTCCCTACACAAAAGAGAATGTTTTTCTTTCTGTTTCATTATCTTCAGCATCTTCAAACAGAAGCTATTTGAGCCACTGTGTTTGTAAAACTTGAACACTGAAACTAAATCTCTCCCCGAATCTGCTCCTTCACTACTGTTGTCTTCTGGGTATTTTGTAAGCCTTCATTAATAAGAAGCCAGAATTATTGCTACTGAGTGAGAGAGAAAAGTGCAAATTGCTGCTTTTCCCTTTCATGAATAGCATGTCATTTGTATTCTTCTCTTAATGTTAGTCCATAGGTTCACTTCATCTGGACATGAGCTGTAAAGTGTAGATTTTTCTAAATTATTTGAAAATACCATTATCCAAATGATGAGCCAAGATAATCAGCCAAAGAATGGGGGAAATTAGAAAAATATCATTGCCTTAAGAATCCTTCCTGAGTATGTTGAACAGTGCAGTTCTACAAAGAACATCCCCAGCATCTAGTCTATATTGCATTAAAGTCACCCAAAAGTTAAAAAATGAATAATTACTGATGTGACCCTATGAACAGCACACTGACACCTTCACTAACTTAGATCCATAACTTATAAGTGAAAGCAAACAGAATAAATTACAGGTATAGTTACTGTATGAAACCATGTAAAAGAAAAACATACAAAAACTGAAATGCGACGTTTTCTTTCCTCTCATATTTTGTATTTTGAGAATTTAAAAAAAATTGTTAGCTACAGTAACACTTCGAAAAAGGCATGCCTGGTGGGACACCTTTTTTATGTTTATTAAAAGAAAAAGAGCCTTTGTTAATGTGCTTTCCTTATTACTTTAATTTTCTGTTGGCAGATTCCCACTTTCAGACCCCTGTAGACTTACTGGTCCTGGAAAATCGCTTTCTTCTTTGGTCCCCTGAGTAGAGTAGTGACAACTGAAAATATGCAGGTAAAACTAACACAGAATGGTCGTTTCGGAGCCAATTTTCTATAGCAGCAACGATGTGCGGGCAAGTTCATTTGTGCTGCTTGCTCTGAGGATTCTTTCTCTGACAAAGCCCCTCAAAACCCTCTCTTTCCCAAAGTGGTAGGTTGTTAGGCTATCCTTTTGGAGAATTATTTCATTTTGATTTTGTTTCATTTCTCTTTAATCTTCTGAAAGTAGTGTTTACATCCTCTCTGCTTATATTTTTAAAGAGAAAACAAAACTTAAGTAATTTAGAAAGTCAGTGAATTCTTACTGCTTTGGCACAACCAATCACTGCTTTCCTCTATTCAACTCAGACCCAAACTGGAAGCACTCAAAAGTTCTTAATAAAAAACAAAGCAGTGGATATTTACAAGATCACTGCATGGAAATGAGCCCTGGTAAGGAAAGTATGCTCTGCAACACAGCTGTCCAAAAACATGGCTCAGCTGTCCTAAAGTACGACAATGATATGAAAGATTCATTCCATCATTCAGTCTTTATCAAACCTCCCTGTGAGGTCAAGGACCCACCCATTTTATGGTTAAAATACCCAAGGCTCTGAGATGATAAATAGTGTAGTCAAGTTACATAGCTGGTAAGAGAAAGGGCCAGAATCCAAGTGATACCTGAGTTTTAAGTCCAGTTTTTTTCATATTATCTATGTGGTATATATTTTGTTAAACTAGCATTATAAACATTTTGTATCTAACTAGAGTACTTCTAGCCATGAGAAACTAGGAGAAAACCCAAACCTACAATGTACAAAAATTCACATTTATATCTACAATTTAAGGAAAAATGTGGTCTCTGCATTAGGAAAAAAATTCACTTTTTTTCTTCTCAATAATTTCATTTTAACTACTAGTTATCAGCCATCGTCATTTGCCTAATTTCAACTAAAATAAAAAAATTCAAGAATTATGAAAAAACGTGAAGCTTCAGATAAGAGTTACAAGCTACACATCACCATTTATAACGTGAACAAAATCACAAAAGATTGTGATGAAATCACCACATCAAACGGTAGAAATAGTTGCTCGATTATGCTTTTAATCGTCTCCCAAATGCTTCCTATACATATTCAGCAGCACAAGTAAGTCCTCTTCTAGTTTTAATGAAAAGACTGGTAATACTTTGTATCCTTGAATAGTACTGCCACCTATGAGGACGTTTATGAGTGCCCACCAGAAATAAACCTGTTCTTTTATTATTATTTTAAAGAGAGAAAAAAATAAAATACTGTTTGATCAGTTTTGCATGCCTGTATCTTATAATCTGAGCAACTATTTTGAAGATGACAATGTGCAATATAACAACCATTGTTAATTTTCTATCATCTTGTTTTGAAAACAGGCCTGTTTCTATTATTTCCAGTCACATGCACAAACCAGATAGAGTATTTATGAAATCTTATTGAGTATTTATGAAACCAGTGCATAAAGGTAAACATTGGAAGAAGTGGTACACGTGATGGATAAGCCAAACTTTCCCTCTTATTTATAGTTGGATCTCCATCAAATATTCTCTGTGAAACTGACTGGTAAATTTAGTTCACTATAATACCAATCTCACACACCTGAAGGGCCATGAAGGTATCACAGAAGTGAAAACTCACAGAACATCCTATAATTTAAAAAATAATAAAATACAAATATTATAGTCATGGCTGTTACTTATTGCTGAAGGTCTTGCTATGATATTGTTGCAGAAAGAGGATGGGTTAGCTGAAAGAATACCCCTCACCCCCAACTCATCCGTCCAGAACAGTTTTCCTCCATATGAGGTAGGTTTTTATAACTGGATGATTGTACGGCATGGCTGACACTAACAATATTACTGCATTTTGTGAAATGAGCCACAGGTAGATTTCTTATATAGGATGTGTGCAAGACGAAGGCAAACTTCAAGTGAATAATTGATACAGCAATATCTTTAGTTCTCATAAAGGTAAAAAATTAGATAGAGAAAAGACATTTAAGTAAATATATTTTACAGTTAATGAACAGAAAATCTAAAACAGCACTATTTTAATAATTGTAACAATTATGTGAATATCCTCTCATCCAATTTTGGAATGAGCTGGCTTTCTTTGAAAACAATGCCAGCAGCCATACTTGCTGTTATTTTTCTCTCTTTCTTAGAAGTAGTATGTTTCTCCTATTGAAGAGAGGTCCAAGATATGAGTTTTGTGTCAGAAAACCTCTTTTGAATCTCCTGTATAAGCATAGAATATTAAAGTGCTTTAGGAAGAAACTTGTGTTTAATCTACATATTCATATTTTTGAATCAGTTTCCTACCTTCCATTGCTATCCAGCAATGGTTATTTTCTAAGCTGCTGAAAAAGACTTCGAAATTTTAAATCTTTTTAAAAAAATCTTCTCCTTGAGAATTGAGACTGAGCCATAGCTCCATCTGCTGGAAGTGCATCTCACCAGCAACAGCTAGAGAGAAGCACGCCACACAACTCATCCTCAAACTGTGTGCAACAGACTTTCAGTGTCTTACTCACTAAGAGAGACTGCTCGCTCAGTCAGAAGGAGAACAGCAGATGTAGTAAACTTTCAGCTTCTGGGAGAAATGGTTTAGTTTGATCACAGTGGAAGGGAAGCCCTTCTCACAAGTCCAGACACCTCGCACTCAGACTAGTCTATGGGCAGATAAGAAAGCACTTATTGACACAAATGACAAATTATTGTATTATGCTTATACTTTGGAAAAAAATCAGAATTTGTTTAGTGCAATTTTCCATTATAAATGCAAAATTACCACTTGCCTGAATTCAGGTTTATTGTTTTTCATACTGTAATTTATTATGGAGCATCAGGCTTTCTGTCTTTGTGTTAGAAAAATAATGTATGGTTATGTAAACCTCATTTTCAATTCGGCATAATTTATGTATTTTTGTCAAGTTTTAATTTTTCTGCTTGCTTGTATATTTTAGTTTACCTTTACATATTATTCCATTTGCTTAGTTATTAATTACTATGGAAACAAGTACATTCTTGCTATAAATAACCAGAAGTTAATTCATAAATGTTTTGATTATTTTTCATATTTTTATTGATAATCATATACTTCATTGTAAAATTTGAAAACAGTTTCTATTCACATTGTTTATTCATATTTAAATCACAACAAAATTTAATTGCTTGCTTTACCTATTGCCACTTTTCGCTCGTTTTAAGATAACATGAAGCTGTGGATAGTTTAAGGGTGTCAGTTCATGTCCAGATATATCATAGAGTCTCCTACCCTTCTCAGTTATATCTTACAGACCATAGACTTGCCCTGGTATGCCTGGAACTTGGAAGAATGCAAACCATGCTAATTGATATAGATCAGCTCTTTGTTTACACTTTACTACAAAGATTCAAGTAATCAAGGTGGGTGAATAATTGATTCTTTTTCCTCACTTAATATGCTTTTCTACTTCTCCACACGAAGTACTAAGCTCTTTATAGAAGCTACACATTTCACCTACGGTCTGCACTATGTTTTTAAGATTGTGCAGAATAGAGAGTGAGATGAGCTTACTGCACAATCATGACTTATTTGGAAGCAGAAATAATACATATGTAACTACTAATAGAAGGTGAACTGAAGCCAGCATACTGATATTAATAAAATAGATACAATGCGTAATAAAGCACAAAGCTGAATTTGTTTAATATGGCTTAGAATGTGGCTTTCTGGAAAGATGAATATTGTCAGAAAATTAAAAATCCCCATATGCTATTTAATTTTCAAGGAATTAAATATGTATAGACTATACTTAACATGAAAATTGGGATGATCATGATATGATATCACTTTGATCTTCAGAAGGAATACTTAGGCCCTTAGGATCATTATGATGAACACCAAGTGTCAGTGTCAAATACCAAAGAACAAGAAGGTGGAAGAGATTACACTGATTCTTTCCTAAAATCAGGATATATTCCTTTAAAAATATTTCTTGATATTGCTCTCTGTAATTATTATGTGTTTCTCATTCATAAAATCTAAATGGAAAAATAGGTATGTAAATGTTATTTCTTTGGATATACATGGATTCTGTATAAAATGGAAATTTGCTTCATAGTGCAAGTTTGTACCTGATGTCTCCCTTTCACGTACGTGGCTTTGCTTGATTAACATGCCTCATTCAGTGGCCGTAAAGAAGCACACATTTTAGATTACAGTTTTCTGTGGGGTTTTTGATGATTGGCTTGCAGCCAAAGCACTTATCCTGCTATTCGGGATATATTATAGAAAACCCTATAACTGCACCTAAGAGTCTTTAATTGCTAATTGCTCCTAATAACTGTTTAGTATATAATGCAAACAATAATGCATGATGTCAGTTTGAATTTCAAGGTTATTATTCAATCTCAAGTTTCTGCTGTGTTATGTTCTCTTCCTGTGGTTAATGATGTCTGAAGAACCCTCAGTGGAGTAACAATCCTGGCTTGGCTAAGGGGCAAGGCATGTATTAAAAGAATAACAATGAAAAATAGAAAACAGAGGTCTGAGTAATTGCCTGCTGTAAGTTGGAGTGCAATATCAGGTACTGTACAGAATGAAATGAATGGCCACTCTTCTGCGTCCAACTACAAAATGCATCTCAATGACCATTCAGAGATTAACTGCTCTGTGGATTATATCAGTAGAATTTGGAACCCTTTTCTTCATTGTCACCAGCATCTAAGGAGTTCCGTTGTGCTCTGGGAATCACTTTCTCTAGTTCTTATTCTTAAAGGACTGAGACAAGCTTTCATTAGTTCTGAGGAACTCTCTCACAGATGCTCATTGATCTCCCTTCTCACACTGGCTCAAGCAGGAGCATAGAAGCCTTCTTATAATAGGCAATGGAAAAAGTGCGATGGGGCCAAGCTCTGGCTAGCTAATAATCCTTCAAGCACTTCTTTCTCTGTTCTGTCTGCAATTTCAGTAAGATTTCCAGCACTCGGGGTTTAAATGTCCTCTAGCCCTTTAGAAGCTGGCATCTAATTGCTTCTTCTTGCTGCCAAATGACTGAGTGTTTTCTTCATTGACTTGGTTTCTGCCAGATTCTGGAATAGACAGTAAGCAGGATAAGAGAGACTGGGGAAGGATAAAACTCACTCAGAGAAGGAATAGAGCGGGTCTGGGAGCCAGGGAGTAAATATGGGGAGAGGGAAGAAAAGCCAAGAAAAAAATTGAAGAAAGTGTAACTTGTGGAGAAAGAGAGAGAGAGAGAGAGAGAGAGAGAGAGAGAGAGAGAGAGAGAGGAAAAGGGAGAAAAAGGGCAAAAGAAAGAGAGAGGGAGAGAGAGAGTACTGGAGTGGAGTGGAGTAGCAGTAAGGATAAAATTTCTACTCTTTCTGAGAAGTATTCAGTGAGAGCATCGTGAATGTGCAGAGTTTGATACACCTCCTCTAGTCACAAAAAACATAGTACAGTATTTGGTACATCTCATCCATTCAACATAATTCCTTATCATCTAATTTTGGTAAATCCCCAAATGACTAAAAGCATTCACTTTTTCTGTGTGCATGCCTTTTGCTCTGTGATTTAGAATCTCTTCCCATTAATGGTATGTTTGATTTTCCTTTGAGTGTGAGCTGCTTTGGGACTGGCTTTGGCCCATAGGGCATGGGGCAAGTGATGTTATGCCTTTCTTTCATGCCTCTGCCGGCTTTGATGGGATCCTGCCCAGCTGCCTTATGAACAAGCCCACAAAATGAGAGACCACACGGAACAGAGAAGAGCTTTCTGAGCCCAGATGATCCTAGAGTAGCCAGCTACCAAGTGACCTAGCTGTTCACTGAAGGTACTGGAATGAATCCATTCAAAACCAGAACTTCTAATATGAGCCCAGCCCAAATTTCTGACTGACATACTGAAGACTTAATGAAACATGCAGTAAGACACTAAGTTTTGGAGTGATTTCTTATTAATCTCAGTCTAACTGTAGCAATAACCAATGTATTGTATATCTTTAGTAGCTCTATAGTTTTGAACTTTACATTGCCTCATCATCTTCCTATGAAAATCTCTTGAGAAAATTCAAACACCTGGATATGTCAAGATCTCTTTTTTTGTTTAAGATACAAGATCATTTCAAGGGTAAAAATATGGAACTCTTGCACCTTTTAAACTTTCACTAAGAAGCCATGGGTGGTGGTACACACCTACAATCCCAGCTCTGGGAGGCTGAGGCTGGATAATCTCTGTGAGTTTGAGGCCAGCCTGGGCTACATACTGCATTCAAGGCCACCCTGAAGTACATGTTAAGATCTGTCTAAAAACAAAAACCAAAGCAAAACAAAACAGAAGTTACACAAAACTTTCACTAGAACTGCATCTACCATATAGTAAAAAGTCTATTATCTATTCATTTTTCAATATAGATAACATTGTATAAAATATAAGAACTTTTGGTTTTGAATCCCAGCAGGCATTTAAGACTTGAATTTTAGGAAAATGATATACTTGGGGAAAAGAGATACCAATCTATATTCTAACACTAGTCCATTTTTACCTATTCCTGTTCCCAATGTTTTGATTGTTCACCTACTGCTGTAGTACACAGATGTATCTTCATCTCACCTATATCACATCTCATAGCATGATTTAAGGATTCACTGTGCAAAATATTATTAGGTTGACTAACATCAGAAGCTCAAATCTTTAGCCACAATCAAGAAGCTTCTTTATCCCAGTAGCTTTGGCAATACATAGAGATGGGAAGGACATAAATTAATTCTATTTTACACAATTAATTCAATTTTTTACCTATCATTACAATGGAGATTACTAACAATTTAGAATTGCTGTTAAAGAGAGGGTTATGGATTCCAGCTGAGCTACAGAAATTATACCACATAGTTAAGAGCAAAACATGATAGGATTTCTTTGAATTGAAGAAAAATTAGAAAAATGGTTTTATACAGCCAAAATTAATATTATATGGATAAAGTTATACTAAATTACAAAGGTTTCTGTTTCATTCAGGATCTTTGCAGAAATAGATGACACTCCTATTGGGTGGTTCAGGATGCTAGCAGCCTGACTTAATCGAGGTGTGGCTAACGGTATCATTAAATTATTCCCTAGCAGTACTAAGGCTCGTTATTGAACCCCTAAGTCTAAAGGAATAAAGAGGTGAGAGAGTTGCTGAACCCTAAAAGAGCTATTTGGAGAAAACAATTCAGATGAACCATGGAGTCTCCAGGCATGCAACCTGCCTGTGAGAGAGCCCGATACCCAACCACATTCTCTTTCTATCCATTCACCAGCCAGGGCCTCCAGTTGTTTAGATCCAAGAATAAGCCATGTACAATGATGATCGTCAGATCCACTCACAAAGCTCAGCACCTGAGACTCCGAGAAGTGGAAGAAGAGTGGGGAAAGTTGGAGAATGATCAAGAGAGACAGACAGATGGGAGTTGTCCAAGCATATCTCTTTCATGAAGAATAAGAATTGCAAAGACATTTTTAATGAGTTTTAATTCTTTGAATATGGCGTATCTAACTTAAGAAACTAGTAGTGTATATGTTTTCATTTCTAATTGCATAAGGGAGAGTTGTAAAATATTGGAAATGGATGGAAATATTAAAACCATAATGGGATAGAAATACCCTTCTTCTATATTTAAGTCTCAGGACTCTTACACATTTATTTTTATTATCATCTCATTAGTTTGTTTTCCTCAACATTATCATTTTATAAACCCTTAAAAGTATTAGAGTAAAGTAAATTAAATTGTGTGCTATAGAAAATGATATAAGTTATACAACTTCCTAAAAGGGAATGAGTCAAATCATTTTTACTGTCATTTTTATTCTACCTGTGACAAATTTCTAGCCTGAGGCAGGTTGACAAACATATTTTCTGGTCCCAAATTTCTTTAAATCACTAGCTATCATAGTAACTGACACTAATCCATAGGATGGTTGTGTAGATTAAAAGAGTTCAAATAAGTATTTTAAAATGCTCCCAAATGTGAGAGAATAATGGTAGTAATGAAAGAACAGTGATTCCAACTTGTGCTATTTGGACAGAAAGCTTGTGTCTGCCAAGAAGCACCCAGTTCCCAGCCTATATTGCCATTTGGTAAGAATCTTAGTATGAATTGGAGGTAGGCCACATGAACTGCCTTCCCTGAACTCTTAGCCAAGCATTAGTCAGATGAGCAATAATCTTAAGAAAGGCAGATCTGCTCAATCTAAGGTAATCTAGATTTAATCTAAATCTAGATTTTACTATCAAGCATGGTTTGGCAAACAGAACAGAATGATCTAGAGCCATGTGTGGAACAGACCTCCCCAGAGGCAGAATTCATAGTGTGCTTGGTTTCTTTATTTAAAGTATCCACAAATACTAAATGGACACGCTTTTCAAAAGAAACTCTCACAATTG